CACTGACTTCAGTGGATGGATATATATATATATATATATATATACATACATATTTATATATGTATGTGTATATATATTCATATAAGTATATGTGTGCTGTATGTGTACAGTACATATATGTGGCATTTTTCACTCTCAGTTATTTAAACCGCAGATGTTGTTCTATTGTTGAAATATAAACACATTTTGAAAAGTTGCCAGCAGATTCCAGAGAAGATTCCAGTGGGCGTGGCCTTGGAAGTTAAGCAGCATAACTGGAAAAATGATTAGGTTTAAAAAGAACATTCACCAATAAATAGGTCACCTCGTAGGTTTATCTGCTTCAGTTTGCAGAGAAATGTCTGCCGTTTAAAAAGGTGAGTCACATGGATGTATACAGAACATTTTGCTGAGTCGAGACTTAAAATGTTAGGAAAGAAAAAATTGGTCTAAGGAGAGAAACAACTGCTGAATGTGCTCGACATTTGCATCATACTGTCATGGGCTTCTTGGGTCCAAAGAGTGAGTTTCCATAATTACCACAGAAACCACAACACTGGACCTCTGATCTGAGCATTAACAGTTAAAATCCTCAAAACTTCTCCCCCTACTGACCATAGTAAAATATTATTGACATTTCATCCTTCTAAATGGCACAAAAAAATATCAGTACTTTCTGTAGAATTATTTAAAATAAAAACCATCTCTGTAGGGAGGTCAAGTGAAGGCAAATAAACATTAATTACCAGGTAATTCAAGATGTGTTTTTTTATCAAATTCCAGCTCTAAAATGATATTAAAGTGACCCACAACAAAATGCTGTATTTCAAGGTCTGCCCTTTTTTTTCTCTTTATTTATCTTATTATTATTAACCTCCAGCTCATGAGTCAAAGCACTGTTTGAGGCAGTCAGTGTTGACAAAAATAAAGTGCAGTAAATATAAATGTGTGTTAGAAGACACGGCCATTGTACGTCCCTTCCTCAGACCTATTCAGTTGTGGAATTTTTCTATTAAATCCTCACAGTCGCCACAGAAATCCAAAGTCCAGCAACTAAATACTGACTCCAATAAATATTTGAGGCACAAATACTCAAGGCCACAGTGGTAGACTGCCTCTATGGCCTGCAGACGTGGGGCCATTTTTAGAGCCATTTAATTTTAATGTCCCACACTCACAGGCTAAGACGTTTCACAAAGTCCCAAATGGTCAAGGGTATCGGAACAATACGAAACGAGTGGAGGATACGGGCCGAGGACGGGGATGGATTTTGAAGTCGAAAGACAAGCGGAAGATGAAAGCGTTTTTTAAAAAAGCAAAGAGAAGTTAATGAGAATGTGGCTTCCTTTGTATCTTTGAAAAGGGAATGAAAAGAAAGTGAATCTCCTCGTCCTCTCACTAATGACTTCGTGGTCAGCTGATTGTCATCAAGATTTTCTGAACTGACACGAAGATGTTTTGAACCTAAATGACAAACAACAACGAACACAGTGGTTTTTCAGTTCTACCTCAAGAATGAGGATGTCGCGTAGACAGAGACGTCTTTGTTCAGAGAGATTGTTTTTTTTATATATTTGCACTTTCAATTTTCAATTGCATGTACAGTGTGTAGACGTTTCACATTTAGTTATTATTAAAAAATCCTTGTATTTAAAGAATGCCTATAATGAAGGAGCAACAGAGAGAAAACACACACACACTCACTTAAGCCACTATCAAAACGTATTATAAAGTTGTAAATTACAATACTTAAAATGGTGTAGGATGGGGGGGCAGAGGTGAGAGACCAGGGGTAAAACACTGCACTGTAAATAAAAGCAACAATGAGCTATTAAAAAATAAAAAATAATACCACCACATTTTTATATATAATATAGACAATTATTTATACAATATAAATGGTTAGAATCCTCTCACTGTTTTTAATAATTTTTTTGTGTGGATATTTTCCAACATGTTTGAGTCATTCTGAAAAAAAAAAAAAGCCTAGGCAGAACCTCTGGGCACAGTAACTCACAGCCTGTCAGTGACGATGACAGTGATGTTGGTGAACGTTATTATCCCGGGTCTCCCTCCGTTTCCCCCCTTTGGAGGATTTCAAGAATCATTTGTCATTTCAGGCAGTGACATCATGGGGGTAATTAGATCACGTTAACAAAATGAACAATGGTCTTAACTGCAGTGTTAGTTATGACAACGACGAGCTTACAAGCTGAGGTTAATTAAAAACAATTTTTTTGTTTTGTGTCTTTTATCGATGGGAGAAAGAGACACTTTGGATAATTTGTTGTGACATTTGGAACAAAAATTCTCTCTTTGTTACGTGAATGATATTTACATTGTAGTTTTTTATGATACGCACACGTACTGCGTTCAGAAGGTCAGATCCAGCTGAAATACACAAGTATTTTTTATCTCTCTCACATTGAATGGTTAAGATGCTAATAGAGTTTTTTTCAATAAATTTGATGGAAATTTTGGTAGAATTAGCCACTAAAGAGGAAAATATAAAGGTACAGTATACGTGTGTGTTAGTGTGTATTCACGTATACTGTAAATACCAGTGATGGGCTCCCCTGTGCTCGTATTCACAGGGCCAACCAGCTGTGGCGATGAGAACAAATGTTTGTATTTGTGCCTTTTCTTTCTCTTTTGCGCGTGTGAACCTATGCACCATTGTGGTCATGGGCCCAAGTGTGCGTCCCACACAGCTCGTGTGTGGCTCTCAATGCGTCAGTGTGTTCATCGGACAAGAAATGACTCTATCTGCCCGCTGAAATGAGACTCTGTGCGAGTGTGTGTGAGTGTTGGACAGAGACGGAGAGTTCGCGGCCTGTCTGAAGCCATCTTTTGTATGAGTTATGTACGCTCTTTGTGGGGGGAAATTGAAAAACATTAGCATGATAAAGGCTGGTTAGAGCTGCTCCACTGATCATGTGACGCGCCGCTGAAAAAGCGCATAGATAGAAAATGACAGCCAGCCCTTTCACTCACACAGAAACCATGGGCTGTGCCAATAATATCTGGGTGAGGCAGCATTCATTGAGTTCAGTGTACAAGCAGCATCAGTTCACCCACCCAAAAATGAAAGAAAAGGAGAAAAAAAAGAAGAAAAAAAATCACTCCCCCCTTGTTGTCTTATGGGAAGGGGTGGCGTAAACACACAAACTACTGTGCCGTGTTCCCTGCTTTGATGTCTCCTGTCTTTCTGTAATTTGTGCGTGTGTGCACATGTGGTTTCTGTGTGTGTACTTGTGTGAGTGTGTGAGTGGGAGCACGCAGGCATCTGTGGGCCTCTCTAATTAGAGAGCGCGGCTCGACCGACCTCTTGTTTTTAAGATCCTGTTTCAAATGGAGGGCTTATTTTTGGGCCGGCAACGTCTTGGTTTGTGAGCAAAAACCTACTGCTTCCTCGTCAACCGGGAAAGCAGGTCAGCAAGGATGCAGCGGGAAGGGATTTGTGTAGTCAGATGATGGGATCCAGACAAAGGGCGCCCTCTCTGTCAGTGTGCTGCCGTATAAACGCTGACAGTCGGTGATTTGGTGTGACACTTGTACCAGGCTTTATTTAATGAAGTGATGATTAGGGGGAAAGAAAAATGTCATTTCTTTACAAACTGAGCTTAACATCACCCCCTTGTGGAAGAGCATTACACTGACAGCTCATTAACCCCAGAGTGCATTCTAAAAATCATTTTCATGGTGGTGAAAATCCTGTTTTCTGATATTTCAGCAGTAAGTGGTTTGGGTTCTGGCTACATATAGTGGTTTCTTTTCTATTTAATATAATTATTCTTCTTATAGCAGGGGGCACCTACAGCATATTCCTCCATTTTAATCATCCTTCATTATTTCTGCCTTTAAAGGTTGTTTTCAGAGTTGCTCTTAATCTCACTTCAGTGGAGAACAACAGAAGCCAACGGTTTTATCTCAGTTATACACAATGAACTGCGTGTCAGCAGTTCTCCTTCATAATGGACTGTAATTCTGTCTGATTTATCACAGCTGCAATGTCCGGCTACACTGTTGTTGTGAGCAGGCGGCTGCCTCCTTCTAAAGCAACAGCACGGCTGAAACCCATTAAAACGTTCTTCTTGTGATATAAATAAAGCACATTTTGAGTGAACGCCAGCTTTTTGATAATGTATCGGTGCCGTTTCTCCCCGTCTTTTCTATTTCCACCAGAAAACATTGTGTAAAAGATGAAAGGAGTCCAATGAGCTGAGTGTGGGGCGTTTCCTGCGAGTGTTATAACACAGAAGATGCTGCCCTCTAGTGGCAAGGGTGAAAGCCCATCGTCTTTAACTCACATTCAGTTACGTCAAAAGGTACTGAGATAAATTTAAATAAATAAATAAATAAAGTCTGAAATTGATTACTTTTCCTATTTAGTGTGTCATCCTTGCTCCTACTTTACAGATGGATTAAATGAAAATGGCAAATGTTGTTACATTTACATCCGCACTTATATAAACAATTGACAAAGCGATGCTTCTCCTTATATTCCGCTTCCTGTGTTGCTTTGTTTTGTTGTGTCTACATTTCCGCTACCGTTGTGTTTCCTGTTTTGTTTTGAAACTTTTGGATCCATTTAAAAATGTTTATTTTGAATATAGATAAAACATTGTGATTTTTTAAAAAAAATGTTTATTTTGAATATAGATAAAATATTGTGATTTTTTTAAATGTTCTAATTTTTACCTGGAAACAGTCCAGTTTATCTTCTTACTATCAATGTACCAATACGTAACTTCCAATTTTCCCATTTTAAAGAAATATATATTTAAAAACCCGTCTAATTTTAATTTATTTTTGTAGAATAAAAATAGAAATAACATAAAAAAAACAAAAACAATCCCCAAACCTTATGACATTTGATTAAAAACAAAAACAATCCCCAAACCTTATATTGACATTTGATCCTTCATCGTCTCTGTCAAAATGTATTATTTTGATTCTTTTTTTTTTTTTTTTTGTTTTTTTTAGTTTGTTTGTTTTTTCAACAGCTTCCTGTTGTGTCTTTGACATGTGGTATTACTTCCGAGACGTCATCACACGGGCTCTCTTGATTTGTTTGTAGTCGGTTTTTACACGTGTTTTCTGGTCACTTTCCCCAGTGCATTTCGTCAATTTGTGGATTTTCTCCTCTTGAGTTCATTAATTGGTGAGTTTGGTTTTCATTTCCTTTTTTTAAATTCAACTGTCACATATTTGCTCGCTGTGTTACTGCGTCTCCAGTTTGTTTACGTTTAAAATATCGTCAGAATTGTGTCTTCTGTGTTATTTACCAGACTCTGGTTCACCGTGGTCCAGTCCATACAACTGACTGACATTGTTTACCTGTTTTTGTTTCAAAAAAGTTTTTTAAAAAGAGAGTTTATCCAATGCAAACTTTCAGTGATACGTTTGATTGTGCACGCTGTGACACGCTTTTCACCACAAGATGTCGTTATGGTCTCTACGATGTATTTTGTGAGGAAGACGTTATATAAACCAGATAGATTTGAATACAGCAATGAAAAGTTCGATAAATTGTTGAAACAAATGTATGAAAATTAGTCTGGGGCCTAAAGAAAAACAGCAAAAAGCAGCGGGAGAATTTTATTAACTATAAACACATTATTCACGTCTCAGAAAGACTGAAACTCAGGTTTTTGGTCCTGAGTGACAAATAACCAGAAAGCTTGGGTATATTTGTCTAAAAGTAATTGATATTATTGTGATGTACATCTTAGGGAATATTTTATAAATTCCCTAAAAATAAAATACCTTCTCAGTTGCATCATAAAAACAGGATAGATCCAGTTGTAGCTGGGATATTTCCTCCACTTTAGCCAACGGATATTAGAGGTGAGAGCAGGCGAGGGACTGAAGAGTGTAGGACACCCCACGCCACTTCACCTTCCCTCTCCTTCAGCATGACAGGACCTAAATTACGGTAAATGATAGCCTTCCTGGGCCACAGAGTCATTTGACCTGCTGCCATCGCTCTATGGCTGTGCCCCCACCAACACCCCATCTCCCCACGTCCCCAAAGGATGGCCTCAGTCCCTGGAGACCTGATTAGAGAATAAGGATGGCAGCATAAACTGAGTTGCTGCAGTGGGACACTAGCAGAACTGTAGCAAAATGACAATAGTATCATGGAGAGGTAAAAATACTAGCATTTTCTTTTAGCAAAACAAAACAAACGTCGTTGCCTCACCTGTATGAGTTATTGTACAGTTTAACACACATTTAAAGACAAAGATAGTATTATATTGTAAATAGAATTCTGAATTAAAAATTAAATACAGTACTGTACATGAAAGGTGTTTATATATCTATATATATCTATATAAATATAGATATATAAATATATACTGATATCGTGGTAGAGCAGCTGCTGACACTGATATTTTTACAGTCCCCTCGATACCTTTTTTCAAATCAGTCCCTCGTTCATGTTGTGTGTCACCTGGTGACCTGCCTTTTTATTACCACAGATCTACATTTAATTACAGGGAGAATAAAAAAATGGCAGAGTTTAATGAAAGGCTCGACAGTGACACCAAGAGCGTCTGACCTGCCGCTGACCTGCAGATGAGGTCAACTGTGGCACGTCTCATTTGTCAGCTGTGTGTTTGTGTGTGTACACGTTTTGGTATTTGTGTAAGTGTGTTTGCCAGAGCTGAAAGGACTCAGCATACACTACTGACTGGAGATGTATCATGTTTTTTTTTTTTAGAATAAACTATGACTCCCTTGTGTAGGACTTATTTCAAAATATAAAAAATATTGGTAAATTTAAACACATCATGACAGGTTTAGGGTGACTAACCAACTTGGAGGTGTTCTGTTTCCCTCTGGTGTGTGTGTGGATACTCTAGTTTCCAGAAATATCCAGGAGTAGGTGTATTTGTCACTCTGAATGGATGGTAGCTGTGTGTCAGTGGTTGTTAGTCTCTGTACTGTACGTGGCGCAGTAATGTAGTGGCAAACCGCCCAATGTGTACCCTGCCTTCACCCAGGGTATGCTGGGATTGGCTCCTGGTCCCTACAGGATTCTCAGAAGGATGAATGAGTGTTTAGTTCTCGTTTTCTTTTCCGTGTTAGCAGGAATACTGTGATTATATTATTGTGCGTGTTACTGATATTTTAATATGAACGATTTCTGGGTGATACTCAGTTTAGTCAGTTGTTCTCTTGTCATTCTGGTGACTTTAGTTCAAGTGATGGTGTAAAAAGTTTACTATTTTGATGTGTGGTCAACAGTAACAGACATACAGTCCTTAAAGTTTTAAATGTGCATCAGAAATCAATGTGGGTTTTTTTTCTATAAACCTCTGTGTTTTGGTCTGACAGTTTAGTTCTTGACCAGATTCCATGTGACTGCAGGTTGACGACCTGTGAAAGAAATGTGGTTTGGGGTTAAAATAATGGCGTCAGAGAAACACACTTTTGCTCCGTCTTAGCTCCACAGGACACGGTACAATGACCTCGAAATAGGTTATAAAAACAGTAGGAATCACAGCTTTTAAAGGTGTAACAAAGAGCAGCTATCCTCATCCTCATCCTCCTCTAGAGAACACAACTATAAAACGAAGAGCACCTTCATAACCTCCCAACTTGCAGCGCTCAGAGATCGTCCCTCCGGTTCTTTCAGCCGGACTCTGTCCACATGGTTTGGTCGTCCACAGTAGCAGTATAGTGTTACAGCCACCACCCTTCTTTATGGATCCTGACATATTCGCTCAACGTGACTCGTCCAGTCAGCCTTTCATTTGCACTGCTGTCCGAAAATGCAAACCAGTCTTTATCATTGTTTTCCAAGTCGTAAAATGGATATTTTTACTTTTTTAATGTCTCTGCGGTGCATTATAAAATATTCGGAACGTCAAAACTCAGCTAAAATTTTAGCGTTTGTCTCGATAGCAGTGACCAACAACAGATGTCTCCACACTTGGAGAAACTGAATGTTATACATCCAATAGAAACTCGAGTCTACCACGGTGTCCTCTTCTGCAAACACAACCGCTAAGATTTTATGGCAGCTCCAATATATTATGTTCTCTTTCCATTTAACCATTTTTAGGCCTCAATTTTATCTGCGTTAAAATCAGAAAGCAAACTAAACTTGACACTTATTCCACTGTGTAATTTGCCATGCAGATGTGTCTGTATGTGTCAAAGAAAGTAGATGTGTCAAAGAAAACAAAAAGCTTTGCAATTTAACAAATTTTTTTATATTGTATCAAAACAACACGAATATCCCTTTAATTTAAATGACTGTATGGAGTTCAAATGACAGGTATACAAACAAAAACACTCGCTATGAAAGAAGATGCTGTGGTGTGTTTGGTCTTACTGCCAATAGATGGCAGTCTTGTGTTGGTAAAGATCATTGATCCTCGGTCCCACCACTCTTTCTTTTTTGAATTTCTAACATTACTTCATGTTCAAAATACACTTTTTTGAGAAACAATCGTTTGAATAAACTTTGAAATTGTCGTTTTAATCCTAGAGTCTAATAATAATGCGATAAGGTAATTTGTTTTAATCCTAGAGTCTAATAATAATGTGATAAGGTCAGTTTTTTGTTTTTTAGCATTTTAGCCGTTGAAAAGTACTGTTTTAATATTAATTGAACATTGTTCACTCAATTTCAGACAGATAATCTTAAAGATTAATTGAACATTGTTCACTCAATTTCTTCGTAAAAGTAACAGAGAGTCTTAAAAATGTATTTCTGCTGACGATGATTTTTATATTTTATTATTCCTTTCGTTTTACTTTTAAAGTACAAAATTCCGGTCGGTGTGACGTTGTTACTATACATAGAGACAGTTGTGTTTAACGCTGCCCATTATTAGGCCGTTAACACAGAGAGCTGAGGCGTCTGTTAGGTCACAGGGAGGCATCGGTTATATTTATGGGTCTGTGGTAGGTATTCAAAAAAAAAAAGTCCTCACCGAGACCACTTCTCTTGTCTTATAAATACAAGGCTGTTGCACTTTTCCCCTTTTTTATTGAAAATTATGAATATTTTTTAATTAGATTTTCTAAAAGGTACAGTTTAAAATTTCATTTTTCTATTGTAAGTTAAGTTAATAAGTAATTTTACTTCATTTAGGTCTTTTTTTTTAATCTTTGCATATACAGTGTTTTTTTAACTGTTAATATGCTGCCTGTAGAGAATGGGTGGGTTATAAAACCTGCCGCCCATATGCTGTCTGGTCAATGACAACCAAAATGTTATGCATGACAAAATCCCAAAAAAGAAAAAATCAAACTTTATTTGAATTTTTTTTTTTTTTTAAGTAACCAGTATAATAAATGTGAAGTAACCACTGGTACGGAGATCCCAGCAGACCCACATAGACTGACTGGAATATTATTGTAATCACTGACCCGTGCAGTGCTGAATGTGTAGCACAGGTGTTTTACAGGATTGTTCCTTTTTTTTGGTTTTTAACTGGTGACAGGGGAGACAGACGGCCTGGAAACCAGTAAGTGAAGTCCCACCAAGCCCACAGGGCCTGGGAATGAACCTGCAGCTATATATCTGCACTGGTTCACACAGACCCCCTGCTGCAGCTGTGTATGTGTGTGCGTGCACGGACGTCTGTCATCCACCAGCATTCACGATCTTTGTCTTGGTCTCTTACGAGCAACTGAAGTTTGATGTTCAGTATGTGTTTTTGTATATTCCTCTTCAGTCTGAAGGTGCTGAACATCGGTTCTTTTCACTGATAAACACTTTTTTCTTTTTTTCTTTTTTTTTGTAGCCAGATAATTGCTTTTTTAATGCCCGGTTCAGGCTTTTCTCAAGTATTAGTTCAGGTTTGGCTCAGACTGTATGCACTAATTTAATATTCTATACCTTAAAAGTAATCATCTGTAGTGGGTACTTTATATTTTAAAGTGTTTGAAATAAGCACTTTATAATGGGGAAAAAGACTTCAGAATTGTTTCAAACTAAAATAACAATGCAGTCAATTCTGTTATTGCAGAACAATTGTTTTTTAATCAGAAAAAACCAGTCAATTCTGTTATTGCAGAACAATTTTGTTTAAAATCAGAAATAAAAAATAAAAACTATTTACTGAGATTTACTGAGAATTTTCTGTGCAGCTGACCTTTTTTTGAAATTTGAAATGTGAGAGTTTATCAAAGATAATGAAT